CTCGTTAAGACGAATATTCTTCATCTGTACAACATAATGTTATTAATGTTTGAGGAGGATAAAAAACATCGCAATTATAATTAATTGTAGGTACACTCTTTTGATAATGCACACTTTTTTAAGTATAGATCAGTGTTTTTATTCCACTGCTTTCTTATAGATTTTCAAAAATGGCACGTTTCCTCCTTCCCCATCAATTAAAAAAGATTTCATTACACCTTTTATTCCTTTTGTAACTATCGAAAATAGTAAAAAATTAAGATGAGGTAAATTGAAATTGGATAATGTAAATTATAAAATGGTAAATTGTACATTTATAAAATATGAGATTGTAAACGTCCACATTTTCCATATTTCAATAAAATTGTAATTTTCATAATTTCATCGTCTCTAATCACTCTCCGCTATATTTAAATTGCTCCCCATGGAGCAATTCTTTCCCATGTTCCTCTGTTGGAAAACACTGGTCTAAACCATGTTGACTGCGATCATTAAAAATATTGTAATAATATAGTTCACGCGTGTATTCCTATGTATACAGGTTCAATCGAATATTGAAATCTTTACTGGAATTACAACTTAGTGTTTATATATTTTATAAAACGAACAATGCATATAAAATATTTTATACCAATACCACGAACGACGTTATACCTACCCGATTTGATTAAAGTTCTCGAAACAGCCGATGACCATTCCATGAAAACCATGACTTCGTGATATGACCGTGAATGATCGTTTTATTTATACGTATTTTTTGCAAATCACCATAAATCACATTTCGTTATAAATTATAAAACTAAGTGAAATCTATAATCATAGATGCATACTCTGAGTCTTATTCTCGACGGTATGGTTTCTATATCACGATATGACCTAACATATAAACTTAATAATGCAGTATACAGAATTAAGTTAAGTCGTATTATTTACTTTTGGACTGCTTTGTCAATATTGTATTGAATGAAATGTATGTAGTAATTAAATAGTCTCTGCACGGCTTTTGGAATGACTTCCTATGCATACGAGTATTTTCAGCGTACAATAAAATAATAGAATACATGGTAATTTATATAAAGCCTAGGTTTTACTTTAAGCATTACAAAATTCATTGCAAAGATCTTTTTTGTTTCAAAAGAAAAAATAAATAATTATAATAATAAGAGACTAGAGTGTGCGGTGCATGTAAAATCTAATGTAACTCAAATATCAATCATTTGAAATAGAATATTATATTTAATTTAGTAAAATTCTGTTTGAACAATGTTTGTTCTATATTATTCTAGTATATCTTAAGATTCATAACATGCAATTTTTATAAATTTACACGTTTAGCTTGGCTGTATACTGTTTAATGCAATCAAAATGTATTATAATTTTCTAAAACATCTGAGAAATTACATAAATAACCTCTCTAAAGTAACATCTGCGTCAATTTTTCAATCGATAAAGAAACTATAATATGAAATTATAGGAGTAATTTCATTGTTCTAAAACATTGTTTTCCTTGAATAAAATCTGTACATAAAACCAATTGAATCTACGGCTGACATAAATAATTTAAAATAATATTTATAAACATTGTATAAGCCAATCGTCAGTTTATTTATGATTCAGTGTACAATTTATGAGTATGCATTGTTCAAACTTTAAAAGTCTTAAATTTGAATCATAATTTTAGTTTTTTTGATGGATTTAATCTACTCGTATCTACTTTATTATAGTTTTAATTTCATATTTTGAGATGAAAGGGGAAAATTTGATAAGAAATAATGAGACTTATTAAATTGAAAATAGACGAAGTTGAATTATTATTATACAAAATAAAAATGAAAGAATATAATAATATATAGTTTTTTAGAAATATTTAATTAAAAGATTCAGCTAATTAAAGCAATAAAAATAAATTGTTTCACAACAGAATAATTGTTTTAAGTACAATAAAATAGCTGTAGCTGAAGACAGATTTAAGTATAAGATAATACCCAAAAGATATGTATACGTATAATGATTAGTAGGGTTCGGGACTTCTTGCACCAAAAATCATCGAAATATGCAGTCAAAATCGTCAAAATATGCTTTAAAATATGCATCTAATTTTTTATTTTATTTTTAAAAAACGCATAAGGTATATTATAAATTATTATTTAAAAATAAAAATCTAAAAATTAGGTAGGTACTTAATATAAAAAAATAATAATTGTAAAAATAATGATAGTAAAAAAAAAAAAAAAATGGTACAGTTAATAAGAAATAATGTAAGCGTGATGATATGATTAACGAACGAACACGTACTAATTTCATTTCATTGTACAATTCATACCCGGCTAATAACTGATTACTTTGGAGAGTTTGAATTTATATTTGTTTCATGATAATATGAAGATAATATGAAGATAAGCCTGTAGGAGTATAAGATTCATTAGGTTATACCACAACTATACAATTGTCGATATTGTCGATAATAAGGTTGATTATTAAGCGATAAAGAGACTATCATCGCAAACTAATCATTGATTAGTGTTAGGATTTCACTTCTTGGTTCATTTGACACATATTATTCGTTATTATATTTTAAATAATTTGTATTTGCAACAACGACATTTAGACAACATTCGACCCGATTTAGTACTGGTTTTTGACCTACTGTCTTTTAAGTTGTAGACAGAACATTGTGTTATAATTTTAGATTTGAAAACGATGATTAATCGTAGTTTGAAAAACAATTTGGAATGAAATGCGATTTCCGACAAATGTAATACGTAGAGTAAATACAGAATGATTTTTCTTCTCTCCAAATTTCAAGTGTTAATAGATAATGTTTTCATCGTTCATAGTGTAAGAGTTTTTTATTGAAATTCATAAAATTTGATATTATTAACACTTCAATAACTAATACATAAATGTTAATGAAATGAGTGTAAACATTTATAGCTAGTATTTGTATATCAAGTATTTGTATCATATGATTTAAAATAATGCATATAAAAATATAATACATTTTTTAAAATCTTAAAATATATTTTACGAGTTGTCACTTGAGTATCGTGTTGACTTTTCTTTAGATAGTAGATTGAATGAAAATAGTTCTATGTCTATAGTTGTAACATAGGTAAAATCCAATTTATGTAAATAAATATGAATGGGTTATAAATTAAATATTCCTTATATAACGTCATAAAATAAGACTGATATGAAAATAAAGCATATGTCGAATCATTATAGAACAATGATTGTTAAAATATCGAGTTTTAATTTTAAAGATTGGTAAATAATAATAATAGCTTACATCAAAAAAAAAAAAAAAAGTGAAAAATTGATGAGAAGGTTGATGATATTGATCAGATACGATATTTAAACGGCTTATTGGTGATTTTCGATGCCAGTATTTTTTCAATAAGATTTATCTAAAATTGTGATCGCTCCTTTCGGTACCAATTAATTATAAATCCTTTGGCCCTAGTTTAGTTTAACATTCAAATATTACTCAGTGCAATGTCTATACATGGATGATGGTAGCATAAGACAAGTAAAATACGAACAATATATAAAGCCAATAATTTCGGTAAATTCAATAAAATATTAATTTTTCATCGTAGTACCTACTTCAATACCTCTACTTGTGTAATAATTTTAATTATATTAATAATATTTACTATACAATTCTAAAATACAATAAATATCGAGTAGTATTTAATAGATATAAATATACACATAATTATTAATATTAATTATTATATATATATACAATCTGTATATCTCATCATTTAATATACATAGTGTAAAATTGAGTTGCTATTTTTTTTGTTTGGAATGCACTCCGAAACGGCTGAATAGATTTCGATGCGGTTTCCACAGTTGGATAGACAATTAACAATGAAAGGTTTATGTGTAAAATGTATTGATATAATTTGATTAATAAAATTTATACGATATAATCAAATTTTAATTTGACATACGTGTTGTGCTCTCCCGATTAATTTGTTTTCAAGCATTTATTAGTAATCAATTGTTTTACGGTTTCCAGACGTTCTGTTAATCACAGAGCTTGTGACGAAATTGTGACGTATCAGGGACAATTAGTGCTGGAACAGGCTTACCTAGTATACACTTACCACGAATGTCGCCCGTAGCGAAAACCATGAATTTATACGTGATCAACTTTTGAAACTTTTACCACCATTTTTAAATTACTTTATCATTGGATTATCGACCATGTTATACATTGTACATTGATTGTAACGGATAAAATATTAAGACGTTGAACGAAAAAACACGATTTTAAACTAAAGATAAAAAACTAAAATTTAAGTGATAAAAATATTTACGAGAATACTCGTATATATTTTTTGAAACGAAACAGCAGACGTTTAACGAACTTCCGTTATTTTAAACGAAGCAATTTAACGCTTTTGTAATATTGTACATGCTCAGTGGCGAACCCGTGAAACATTTTTGGGGGTCATAAATTAATTGCACAATATTTTTTGGTCATAATATAATCGGAAACTTTGTTATAAATTATTACTAAATACTTAAAACTCATGTTGATCACTTGATATCAATGATAACCACATTATAAAATAGTGACTATATGTGACCATCACTCCTAATCTCGATTTGGTCGAATATTGATATTTTATATTACATTGATAAGTGATATCAAAAACTTATGATATCAAACACGGTTAAAATTAGTGAAAATTAAAAATATTTATGATTTACATTATTTAAGCTCAACAATTAATTTGCGTTATGGCATCAAAAAAACTTCTCAGGGGGGGGGGAGAAAATGCCCCTGTTGCCCTTTCTATACTCACAGGTATGCCACTGTACATGCTTTTAATTAAACGTAAGTTATGCGCACTGAATTATATTATATTTTTAACAACGACCCTATGAACTTCACGCTATCTATATTGAAATAAACACTCAAAAGCACATTTAACTAAGTTTTCATCAATAAAAAACATTTTTAGGCACATATATTACTTTTTCAGCGGCAATACTTTCGAAGGCCAATGGCAAAACGGCAAGAGACATGGGTTAGGCGTGGAATCCCGAGGGCGGTGGTTGTACCGAGGAGAGTGGACACAAGGCTTTAAAGGTCGATATGGCGTCAGACAGTCGGCAACAACTAACGCTAAATATGAAGGGACTTGGGCAAACGGACTCCAAGACGGTTATGGGTTAGAGACATACGCCGACGGTGGTAAGTTATTATTACTATCGTTATTTTTATCATTATAATTATTATTATTATTATTATTATTATTATTATTATTATTATTATTAT